CCCCCCCCCCACCGACGTCACTCTCCATAAGAAGGTGTCTCATATGGCCGCTAACCCTTGAATGTATCCCAAAAAGATTAAAGGGGCCTATGTCCTTATCTAAGATCGTCTGCCTATCTTCGTTCTAGGTGACCTGTCCAGGACTTAAGAGGTCCTTAAGAGAATAAAAGTTTAGTTACCCCAGCAGTGCTTGGGAGCCTAAGGGAACTTACTGGGGTGCATGTGAGGATTGGAGCTTGTAAAATGTTGCTCTGCAGATACGGAGCCCAGAATCTACATTGCAAGAGCGTAGCTGATACATTTTTCACGGGGGAAGTGCCGTGGATGTCAAGGAGCCTGCATTATTTTGTTTTGTGTGTTGGTTTTGTTTTTATTTCTGGTAGTTTCATTATATTCATTTTCTCTAAAGCCGTAGTTCTACTGCCTTTCTTCTGGATGTACTGGGTATAAAGCTCTCCCCTAGTGTGTGTGTGGAGGGGGGCGGAAGGAGGATGAGAAAGAGACCCGAGGCCGTCCCCCAAGTGAATTTTAAACTGCCTCCTCTTCACCTAAATTGTCTCCTCTCCCCTTCTGGGTAAGTGGAAGCTGTTGGTTAAGAACCTCCCAAGGTCATCAAATCAATGGCAGAGACCAGATTGGAACTTGGGTCCTCACAGTCTACTGCAGTTCTCTATCATTGTATGCTGTCAAAATCAACTCCAGTAGGATCTGTATCCCAAAAGAGCCGTTAATGGAAGTGTTTAGACCAGTGCCCTACACATAGTTGATGTTCAGTAAATGTTTATTAGTGCCTTTTCTTTCCATTTAGCATTATCCTGTACTATTTATGTATTTGCATATATGTATGTAAGTATTAACATAGCAGTCACTGAAAAGTCAACATTTGTTGAACATCAACTATGTGCCAGGCATTAAAAAGAAAAGAATACAGCCTCTAAAAGGCTTAATAATAATCTGGCCAAGTAAGCATGCATCATTTCTGTAAGTTTCCTATGCTGAATGGTCCAACATTAAAAATAGCCCAAAATGACGAGTATCACATTTATTTAACCTTGCCCTAGATTTATTGGCCAATGTGATTAGACAAGAGAAAGAAATAAAGTATAAAATAACTGGAAAGGAGAAGGCAAAATTATTGTTATTTGCTAATGATATGATTATTTATCTGGAAACCCAAAGAAAATTAACTTGAAAAGCTTTTAGAAAGAATAAGAAAATTCAATAAGGAAAAATTAATATACAGAAATTAATAGCTTTCCTATATCAAATTATATGTTTTTTAAAATCTTTTTTGGGGCGCCTGGGTGGCTCAGTCAGTTGAGCGTCTGACTTCAGCTCAGGTCTTGATCTCACGGTCTGTGAGTTCGAGCCCCGCATGGGGCTCTGTGCTGACAGCTCAGAGCCTGGAGCCTGCTTCGAATTCTGTGTCTCCCTCTCTCTCTGCCCCTCCCCCGCTCATGCTCTGTCTCTCTCTCTCTGTCAAAAATAAATAAAACATTAAAAAATAAAAAAAAATCTTTAATGTTTTATTTTTGAGAGAGAGAGAGAGAGAGAAAGAGTGAGCAAACAAGCAGGCAGAGAGAGAGGGAGACACAGAATCTGAAACAGGCTCCAGGCTCTGAGCTGTCAGCACAGAGCCCGATGTGGGGCTCGAACTCACAGACCACGAGATCATGATCTGAGCCGAAGTCTGACGCTCAACCGACTGAGCCACTCAGGCGCCCCATCAAATTATATGTTTTAATGTTAAATTGAAAAACTATTTGAATTTACAATAACAGCCAAAATAAAGTGCCTAGGTTTAAACTTAAGAACAAACAGGTAAGACCTATATGAAGAAAAATGTCAAACTCTACAAAGGGACATAAAATTGCTCAGGCAAATGGAAAGATATACTTTCCCCTTAATTAGGATCACTCGACATTTTAGAGATGTCAGTTCTTTAAAATAACCTACAATTCAGTTCTAGTTAAAATAACAATAGGGTTTTTTTTTTTTTTTTTTCCTTCAAAACATAAGGGTGGCTCAGTCGGTTAAGTATCCAACTCTTGATTTTGGCTCAGGTCATGATCTCACGGTTTGTGAGATTGAGCCCCGAGTTGGACTCTGTGCTGACAACACACACACTTAAATACTGGTCCTCTAATTTCTATAGACAGATTCCCAGGGGTAGAATGCTGAGTAGCTATTTAGTAGCTATTGCCAATTGCTCTTCAAGAAATTGTACCAGCAGTATGCAGTTGCCCTATTTCCCGTAGTCCTGCCAACACAGGTATTGTCATTCTTTTAATGACTCCCAGTCTGGTTAGTGAGAAGTATTACTTTAATTTGCATTTCATGGACTACAGATGAAGGTGAGCACCTTTTCATATACTTACTGGATATTTGGATTTGCTCTTCTGGATAGTGCCCAATTTATACTCCCTACCCATTATTCTATTGGATGATGTATCTTATCAATTTTTCTGGTTCAGGGATATCAGAGATAATAACTTTTTGCTGGTCATATGCATAATGACTATTTGCCTGGGTATGTTATTTGCCTTTTAATATTTTTATATATATTTCTCCATATAATTGCTATTATTATTACTATTTCTATATATTCAAGTATGCCTGTCCTTTCTTTTGTGGTTCTTGTGTTTCCTTTCTTGGTTGAAAATGTTTCCTTAAGGTTGTACATATGTTGCACATTTTTTCTGAAATTTTTGTTTTATGTTTAAATATTGAAATCAGAAGTTCATCTGAATTTATTTTTGTATTTAGAGAAGTTAAGGGCCCAACTTGTGCAAGTGGCATTTTACTAAATAAATCATTCTTTTTCCCTTGACTTTATTTTTTTATTTGAGAGAGAGAGAGACAGAGAGAGAGACCGCACACACAAGTAGGGGAGAGGGGCAGAAGGAGAGAGAGAGAATCCCAACCAGGCTCCACACTCAGCATGGGGCTGGATGTGGGGCTTGATCCTAGGACACTGGGACTGTGACCTGAGCCGAAATCGAGAGTTGGATGTTCTACCAACTGAACTGCTCAGGCATACCTCCCCTTGATTTGAAATATCACCCCTGTCACCTTTTAAATTTCTTCTTTTAATGGGATCTATTTCTGGGCTCTCTGTTCTATTCTACTGACCTATTTGTCTATTTGTCTATTATGCCAATATCATACTGTCTTGATTGGTTTCAGACTGTATTTTAATATCTTTAAGGCGGATTCCCTCCTCTTTGTACTGCCCCGCCCCATTCCTCTTTTTCATATTTTGAGTATTTCTTCTCAGATAGTTGCTCTGCAAAAGTGCCTAAAAATATATTTAAGAAAAATAGTGAAAACAAAAAATTCTGTGTTACTTGGTTTATATGATCTTAAGGACCCTGTCTCTTTGTGTTATAGGGAGTGGTTATTAATACAATTACTTAAATGTGTGTCTCGTTAACCTCTTAGAACTAGTGTTTAAACAGTGTACTGGAGTTAAGAACTGCCAGGTCCCTTAATCTCATGAATCATTTAGAAAAAGGCCATATTCATTTTCATAGGCTATTGTGAGAGAAAACATTTGTGAAATGCTTTCAAGCTGTAAAATGCTTTTTTTTTTTTTTTAATTTTTATTTATTTTTGACAGAGACAGGGCATGAGCGGGGGAGGGGCAGAGAGAGGGAGGCACAGAATCCGAAGCAGGCTCCAAGCTGTCAGCACAGAGCCTGACGCGGGGTTCGAACTCACAGACCGTGAGGTCATGACCTGAGCCGAAGTCGGCCACTCAACCAACTGAGCCACCCAGGCGTCCCTCAAGCTGTAAAATTCTTTTAAAAGTGTAGTCTGTTAGCAGTAGTCACTCCAAAGAAGTTTTTCTTTCAGTTCACAATAAGCTTATTAACTGCTTTTTAAATTGACCGTCCTGTTTAATTTAGGTTAACGTTCATCAGGGAAGGATTTGAGCAGAATAAACTTCATTACTAGCACTCCCAAGTAAATTAGAAGTTTCACGAGTGCTAAGGGTTGTTATTACTGGCACCGAGAAAATTCCATTGGCACTGAGCAAAAGAAAGAAGTAAAATACTGATGTGTGTCCTCAAGTAGTTTACTTTCTAGCTGAAGAGATAAGAGGAGTATACACATGTGAAATGATAATTGACAATACAAAGCAATGTATGCCTGATGGTGTGTGTGTGTGTGTGTGTGTGTGTGTGTGTGTGTGTGTGTAAAATATGTGTGTATATATTAGCATGTATGTGAAGTGCAAGAAGAGTTCAGAGGCAGGCAAGGTCTCTTACAATCTGGTGCTCCAGTAAGGCTGGGCCTTAAAAGATAAGTAAGATTTGTAAAGAAGGGAGAAAGCTCATTCCAAGTAGAGGGAAAAAGTAATGATGAAAGTCAGGAAGTCAGATCTCTGGGAGTTTTGCAGACATGGAAAGCATATATTAGAAAGGTTTAGACAAGGAACACAGATTAGGGCCAGATTATGGGGAACCTTGAATAAAGGATAAAGGAATTTGGATTTCAAACTTGGCAGTGAGAAGCCACTGAAGAGTTTTGAGTTAAGGAAGTAATGTCAGTGCTGTGTAGTATTGACTGAGGTTGGGAGGGAAGGAAGGCAGAAAGACCAACACAAAATTTCCTACAATTGCCTAGGAGTAGATGATGAGGATCTAAACCAAAGTGGTGTCGATGGGAATTGGAATGAGGGGAAAGAGGCAAGAAACATTTAAAAGATTTAGAAAGGCTCAGAATCAAACATGGCTTTAAGATTCTGATCCTCCGTGGTTGGGAAAATGGTGGTGTTATTGACAGAACCAGGATGTCAGCAGGATGAACTGTTTTTATGTATAAGATTAGCTCATTTTTGGACATGTTGAATTTGAGGGAACAGCAGGACACCTCAGTACAAACTAGCCATAGTATTTGAAGATGTTGATCTGCTTTTGAGAAGGTCAAGGCTAAACATAGACATTTTGGTGGCATTGAAAGCATAAGAGTAAGTCTTCTAAACAGAAGAGCCCAAGGACTGAGAACTAAACTGAAAACATATTTGGTTTTAAGGGACGAATATTTAATTTTTCTTTAAAATTCTCACTTTTAGCATTTGTTTCAGTTGTTTGAAAATGCTTTCTTTCCCATTGTGAATGAAGAAACCATAATAAAGAACTGTGCTTATTTTGTATGTTTCCAGAGCGTATGTACTAAAAGAATGCATTTTTATGTTTTTTAGAGCTGTATCATAAAACGTTACTGTGAGAAAAGATTTGTGTCTAAATATCTTGCAACAATTGGAATTGACTATGGAGTCACAAAGTAAGTGCATTGTTTCTTTGGGCTTGTAAATTACATAGATTTGAGAATTTTTCTAAAATGATGTATCTTGAGGGGCGCCTGGGTGGCGCAGTCGGTTAAGCGTCCGACTTCAGCCAGGTCACGATCTCATGGTCTGTGAGTTCGAGCCCCGCATCAGGCTCTGGGCTGATGGCTCAGAGCCTGGAGCCTGTTTCCGATTCTGTGTCTCCCTCTCTCTCTGCTCCTCCCCTGTTCATGCTCTGTCTCTCTCTGTCCCAAAAATAAATAAACGTTGAAAAAAAAAAAAAAATGATGTATCTTGAAATAGAGATTCTGAAGAAGGAAAGATGGGAATAAGAGACATTTACAGATATGTAGTGATCATATCAATTGTTCATCACTGAGCATGTTCTTTTTGCCAGGCCTTGCCTTCGCAAGGGACAGGTATAGGGTCTACAACAATGAGGAAGTCAACAAAAAGCCTACCTAGCAGATGTATCTTTTTAGGAAACATGTTTCTATATAAACATGTCCTATTAGCAGGTATGTTTATAGAGCATTTTGAGGTATTCTTTCCACAAAGTCTAAATAGTATGTCGAATATTTTCTATCAGAGGATTTCCTTTATTGGTTTATGATCTTTATAACCTATTGGTATCTAGCAAAAATGATCTGGGAGAAGGAAAATTAGGAGTAAGTGGGGATTTATCTCGAGATGAATCAAGGGTGGGTTGAGCCTGAGGAGATAGGCTTACATTAGCAGGAAATAATACCACCAAAGCATGGAATTAAGGTAGACTGCACACTCCCTGAAGGTGAAATTTCAGGTGCTCACCATTCTGCCCTAACCTGCCCCCTCCTCTCTTATTCCCTTCCTTTACACACTTTACCCTCCATCCACACTGCACCGCTGCCCTTGTATTTCCCTAGCTCAGTGCAGTTATTCATTCATTCTGTCCACCTATAATATCCTTTCCCCTCATCCCTCCATCAGACTCTTTGACGTGTAAAATGCTCCTGTTCCCATAAGGCCTTGGAATACCTTCTTTATCAGTTAGGACTCTTTAGTTGCAAATGACAGAAATAATAAACTTCTGTATGCTATTTATGGTACTTATTTTAAATTGCCACATGTCATTATAATTTATATATGTTTCATGTCTCCTGCTAGATTATAAGCCCCATGAAGAAGGAGCTATTAGAATAAGTCATTTCCAGTTGCCTGGCACAGTGCTTGTATGTAGTAGATACTCAAAAACTCTACTAGGTGAGATAGATATATCTAAAGAGGAAGTTTGTAAGATTAGACTGTGCGGGCAGCTTTTAAGGAGGTGGACTAAAGCGGTGAGGTTTGTCTATACTTCAGGGCATAGGATTTCATCAGTGATATGCCAGGTTATCCTATTTAAGGCAGTGTTGTTTTGAATTCATGTAAGTAGCTAATTTATTCATCTAAGAAATGAGAATCACCATATTACGCCATAGAACTGTAGTGGTTTATTCAACAGACTATTCTATCTCTGGCTGAAATTTTTTTTGGAAAGCTGCTTGTCCCATGGTGTATCAGGAGGATATAACTCAAACCAAGTCAAGGAAAAAATAATGATAATAACAACAACAATAATAATAAAGAATATTAATCAATTCACATAATCCAGTTATGAGGATGCTGTGCCTTACAGATGGCTGGAACCAGGGACAGAATATAGCTATATAATTTACTACGTCTCTCTCCAGCTTTTAGCTTCCTCTGCATGGCTGCCAGCAGATCTCAGACTCACATTGTAAATTTTACCTCCAGAGAGGGACCAAAGCTAATATACAAATTTAAAAATCCTAGGGAAAGTTTTGATTGCTCAGGTGGGGACAGGTGCCTTTCCCCAGCTCATTTGGCTGTGGCCAACAGAGTGGGATCACTAAGAACATAGCAGAACTCATCTGAACCACAACTGGGAGAGGAAAGGGCTATACTCGTGGGTAGTCAAAAGAACAGGTACCCATTCCGTCCCTCCTGTTATCTACATGGTGAAGCTCAAATTCCAGCATATTCAAGAATTACTTGTAAAGTTTGTGAAAATGCAGATTCTTAGGACCCACCAAGATTCTGGTTTGCTGGGTGTGAGGTGGGCACAGGAATCTGCATTTTTAACGGCCTCTCAGAATAATGATGCAGGTGGTCTGCAGGCCACAACCTAGGAAAGCAAGACCTTGAGGTAGCGAATTACCATTTTTCTTCAGGTTAATTTCCTCTGTCTGGCATCTGAATTAAAATAACTTCGTTGAGTTTCAGTGTGAATACATTTGTGCATTCCTGACTTTATCCGTTCTCAGCTGCTATCTCTTTAAGGCCAAATTTTCTAATATGCATTGTTACACCAGGTCTTCTCTAAAGGCTCTCAGACTCTGTTGTTTTGTGTTGTTTTGCTGTTCTCACATTCTCTTTTATAAGGTGGGTCCTGATTTCACAGATGTTAAAATGAAAACAGATGTGCATCTTGGTTATTGATGAAATATGGTAGAGAGTTCAGGAATAAAATGATTAATGGTTAGCTCGATGTAAGTCTACAAGTAATATAAAACACCTGTAGGCATTATGGTTTCAGAACAGAAGGTGGGTTTAATAAACGTGGACAAGAGAATAATAATAATAAACAAACCCAGAGGTAGTGTAGGGCCGATGAGAGAAAGTACTGATGTCCTTGTATTCTGTTGGAGGGAGTCATGTCAGTGCTGCCTAAACTGAAACATGTCACTGAAAAACATGATTCTAACCTGTTAACTTACTGTTAATAATCCCTATTCTTAACTTAGAGGGGTCTTTTAGGAAATACTTCTTGTGATGAAGAAAACATATTTAAAGTTCAATAATTCTACTTCACCTCAGTTTCTTTTTCCTTTTGTTACATTCAATACAAAGTAATAAATAAACATTAAAATTTTTTTTGAATTCAATACAAGTAAATTTTATACTTTTTATTTTAAAATAGTGTAATCCCATTTTGATAAAAACACTTGTGCTTCTCAGTCACGTCTGTGTATAGAAGAAGGCTGCCTTGGCATTCATCTATATTGATGAAGGCTTTTGCTGGGTGATAGGATTTGGGATAAATTTTGAACTTTCATCTTTGTATTTCTGTAGTGTTTGAAATACTTACAATGTTTCATTAATTTATTTTCCAACAATGGTTTTTCTTGAAAAAAATAAAGAGGCAAATATGCTATGATGTTGGCAGCGTTTAATTCTAATATGAATGGTTGTTCTTTCCCCTTTTGTTCTTTTCTCTATTTTAATTTTTTTTTAAAGAGAGAGGGTGCAAGTGAGTGAGGGGCAGAAAGAGAGGGAGAGAGAAAGGCAGAGAGAGAGAGAACGGGGAAGCAGGGCTCTAGCTCACTCGATGTGGGGCTCAAACTCATGAACCATGAGATCATGGCCTGAGACAAAGTCAGATGCTTAACCACTGAGCCACACGGGCACCCTTAAAATTTTTGAAAAACAAGTTGACTATAGCTCTTGCTCAATGAAGGTCACAAGAAGATCACACAGACGTTAATAAAATACACCTTAACTATCGTTCTGCATGGTAAGCAAGCATAGCCGGTAGTAATTAAGATGTCTTGCCAAGTGAAAGAAAATATTTTGTTTTCCTTCCTCTTACTCCTACTTGTCCCAAATCAGTTTTCTTAGTCTCACAGTAAAAGCCACCATTTGTTAGTAAAAGGGTATGGCCTGAAATATCTTGAGATAAGCTGAAAGTAAATGAGGGTGTTTATTACAGGTGGGTTCAGTGTCTTTATTTTTATTTTTTTATTTATTATTATTTTTTTAATATGAAATTTATTGTCAAATTGGTTTCCATACAACACCCAGTGCTCATCCCAAAAGGTGCCCTCCTCAATACCCATCACCCACCCTCCCCTCCCTCCCACCCCCCATCAGCCCTCAGTTTGTTCTTAGTTTTTAAGAGTCTCTTATGCTTTGGCTCTCTCCCACTCTAACCTCTTTTTTGTTTTTTGTTTTTTCCTTCCCCTCCCCCATGGGTTTCTGTTAAGTTTCTCAGGATCCACATAAGAGTGGGTTCAGTGTTTTTAAAATAAGGAGGCAAGATGATCTGCCAAGTTGCTGGCTTCTGTTGTAAAGATTATCTGAAATCAAGAAAAGGCACTAAGAAAGCCTCTTACATTTCATACACATACCTTTTTGAAATGTATAAATGACATAAATGATATTAATGAGAACGCAGAAACCATAACCTTCTTTGGAATTGTTTCCATTTGAACATTTCAGGGTACAAGTCAGAGACCGAGAAATTAAAGTGAACATCTTTGATATGGCTGGCCATCCCTTCTTCTATGAGGTAAGAAAGCCTTTTTGAGAAAACCAACATCCAGTATTGTCAGTGGATTCAGGGAAAGATCCTGAGTTACCTGAAATGACCAATATTCAAATCACGTATAAAATTAGGTGAATTTAGCTGGTGTTCGTGGCTTCCTTTCTGAGCCTAAACTTCATAGAAACCTATTGGTCTTTTGTTCCATTCCCTCAAACTGTGGTAGGAAAGTTCATTGCTAATGTTTCCAACACGTTTTAACTTTGAAAGGACTGTTGCTTTTAACTTTGTACCTTAGCCCAGAATGTGACAGGATAATTATATTCATACTTGGACTTAGGAATTCAGCAATGCGACTTCTTTCATAGCACAGTACTGGAGTGAGCTTTCCAGTTCACTCTGCAGCCTTATGTGTTACCTCCCTGGGGAGAGTCCCACCTGCTTTACTTTGTCTTCTTGTCCTGAGTAGTCTCAAAGTGAATCTCATGGCCATTCTCTTTTGTTTTTCCTTCCTTGGGTTATTGATTTTCCCTGAAGAGGCTCTCTGTTCTTTTCTAGTTTGGGCCATTTCACTTCTGCTATTTATTATTTCCTTCCTTCTACTTGCTTTGTGTTTCTTTTGCTCTTATTCTGGGTTCTTTATGTGGGAGCTTAGATTATTGATTTGAGACTTTCTGCGTTTTTGATGTGTGTGTTTGGTGCTATCAGTTCCCCTCTCAGCACTGCTTAGCTGTGTCCCACACATTTTGATATGTTGTATTTTCAATTTCATTAATATTTCATCTTATTCATTCAATGTGTTTTTTTAATTTCTCTTGAGACTTTCTGTTTGAACTATGGGTTATTTAGAAGTGCGTTGTTTAGTTTCCAAGTGTCAGAGATTTTTTGGTTATCTTCCTGTTATTAATTTCTGGTTTGAGTCCATTGTGATCAGAGAACACACTGTATGATTTTGATTTCTTTTAAATTTGTTGAGGTTTTTTTCATGACCCACGGTATGGTCTATCTTGGTCTTCCGTGGGCACTTGAAAAGATGTGTATTCTGCTATTGTTGGGTGGAGTGCTCTATAAATATTTATTAGGTCTTGTTGGTCAGTGGTATTGTTGAATTCTTTTATATTCTTGCTGATCTTTTGTTTGGTTGTTCTATCGATTGCTGAGAGAGGGGTATTAAAGTCTCCAACTATAACTGCGGACTTGTCTGTTTCACTTCTATCGTATTTGCTTTATATGTGTTGCAACTCTGTTATTTGGTGCATACATATTTATGATTGCTATGTCTTCATTATATAGTTTTATTTTTATATAATGCCCCCCTCTGTCTTTGTAATCATTTTTGCTCTGATGTCTACTTTATCTGATATTAATATAGCCAATTTTTGCTTTCCTTTAATGTTTGCATGATATATCCTTTTCTATCTTTTTACTTTCAGTCTGCTTATATCATTGTATTTGAAGTAAGTGTCTTGTAGACATGGGTCATGTTTTTCAATCTATTATGCCAATTTCTGTCCTTTAATTGAAATCTTTAGACCACTTATGTTTAATGTAATTATGAATATATTGGGGCACAAGTCTGCCATTTATTTTTCATTTTCTGTTTGTTCTGTTTTCCAGTTCTGTGTTTTCTGTTCCCTGCCATCTATGGGTTAGTCGAACACTTTTTGAATTCCATTTGATTTGTCCATAGTGTTTTTTTTTTTCTGAAAGTAATTAAATTGGATTTTATTTTATTATTTATTTATTTATTTAATATGAAATTTATTGTCAAATTGGT